TAAACTCCAGAGGCTAACTTGCCCAGCATAGAAGGGTGAGAAATCCAAGAGAAGTGTCCTGATTCCCAGAATCATCTGTTCCTACATTTCCCCTCCAATACTACTTCCTTTGGAGATAAGGGATGGTCTCTGAAATGCTTCCTGTCCTTTGAATCAGCCTGTCCTAGTTGACATCATGGGTATGAAATTCATTGCCAATTCAGTCTCATTCATATTCTCTCTCCCTCCTGCCTCTCAACTTCTCCAATACTGCCTGACCCCTCAGTACAAAGACTCCGGGGCTCTGTCCTCAGCACGTTACTTGCAATGTCCGTGACCTGGTTCATTTGTGAATGATTGTTCTGCTCCCAGGGTGGCCCCTTTGTAACCAGGGCTGGGCTCTGCTATCATTAAGAAAGGGGAGCTTCCAGCAGGTATGGCTCTCTCTAGTTACCTTCCAAACCCCTCCCCTCCATGCCAGCTCTTTCCTTTCAAATTGCAGCCATTAGTACACAGTGTCCCTTTCCCCACATGTCCTTACCTAGGAAACGAGGTCTAATCTGAGCTTACCTTTATTATTTTTTATTTTTTTTCAATAGGAAAAAGAGTTTCAATCATGATCATTTTTTTTTCTGTACAAGATCTTTATAGTACAACTGGAAAGACACGAAGAACCCGATTATCTATGCTTTCCCTTATGTGGTGTTCACTTAGTGCAGACGTCCTAGTTTTCCTCTGCAGAGTTGCATGCAATTCCTTTCAATTTAAATGTTAATAGGAGTGTAAACTTAAAAAAAAATCCTGAGGAAAATTGGTTTTTTTTTCCCTAGCTTTATTTAATGATTCTCCTTGTGTTTCTTCCTCCGCCCTCCCTCATGGTCATCCTCCCTCTGCCAGTATCTTCCCATCATGCTGGACTAAATGCAAGAGTTTAGAATGCACCTTCCTAATTTCAAACACTGGAACTTTAAATGTGAGGGTCATGAAACACTGATAACAGACTCAAACCCAACATGGTTCATGAGATTTTTCATTTCCATGATTGCCTGAAGAATCAAACTTTCTCATCCAAGGCTGTTCTCTATGTGACAATAGAGAAGATTGATCCTCACAGATTTTACATCATAGGCAACCAAAAGTTTTCTAAAGCTTCTGGGAAAGGCGAGTTGAGAGTTTCCTTTCTCTACTTTACACTTTCTTTTCCTCTTTTCTTTTTCCTTTTTCTTAAGTCATTAAATGATGGTGAAAGAAATACAAACTATGTAAATTCCCAATTAAAGAATATTGCTGTGAGTTCAAGGAAACCATCGAAGTTAGGTGGTAGTTTCTTATTCCTAAAGAGGACAATGGCAAGCAGGTAGAAGAGCTGTGACACCATGTGCATAGGACCTCAGAGTGACAGATGGCACTATCCCAGATGCAAATAGAAAGCAAGAAAGACTGTTAAACAACAGACACATTACACTCTAATGTGTCTACATTCAGACAGGGGGTTTAGTAGCCTTCGCAAGTGCTCCATGGACCAGATTTTCTGTATGAGCTTTAGCTAGACATTGTCTTCTTTCTCTTTCTTGCCCAATTTGTCCATCTTTTTTTGTTTATTTTTATCCTCTTTACCTT